AAGTTCAACCAAATATCGCTCGCTTAAAATGTTTGTCATCGATTGTGCTGTAAATAGTAATGGATATATTTTCACGCACGTACTGTATTTCCCGATTAAAACAACACGTGTCTATTAAATCTTTGAGACGTGCAAGTACGGTAATCAATAAACAATAGACTACAACATTATACATATAGAAAACAAGTCTATTTAAACAAAACTAAAGTACATGATGTGATGGTAGTTATTTTATTACACATCGCCGCCGCATCAGTCAATTCAAATTCCGAAAAAAATCAAGAATTTTTCATAATTGACTAAACAGAATTGAAAAACTTCCCTATTTTGCATAAATTTTTTTTTAATTAAAGTTTTCGCATTGATATTGATTGATGAAAGGGTTGCTTCAATCATGACCTATGCATTATCATTAATTGACGACAAGTTGATACAGAATTGCTTCCCCTATAAAAAGGACAACACCGTTTAGGTTTGCACTTGAGCGTTTGTCTCTAAACAAGATAGGCAACACTGTTTTAAAATTGTGAATTCACACTTCAAAAAACAAGAAATGGAATTATTGTTTACGCCATCGTTGCTCTTCACGCTTTTCATTCTTCAAGTTAATGCTGTGGGGTCAGCTGATGTTATAAAACAAAAAAAGGTTTGTTTCAAAATCGATTCAATCTTGACTTGAGGAAATACAATTTTCCGACGCATGTTATTGTGAGCCCTATACATAATGTACATTTAATAAGGTAATGGTCACAAAAAATCTCGAGTGTCGGTCTGTCTATAGGTAGCTAAAGCCATTGACACCTCAACTCAAACTTGAGGTGGTATTCAAAAATAATCAACTAGAAGTTGCGAGTCATATAGATATCATCAAAAATGTAACGTAATTTGGCTGCCGTGTGAGCATAATGCATTTTTGCACGTATATATTGATTTCCACCATTGAGGCTATATGTTGGTCAAACTGTACGAATACAATTAGTTTCACCACGCAAGACTAAAACGACAAGACTTTGAACTTCTTCACTTACGATATGCTATGAGACATTCTTACTATTATGTTTGATGTTTCAATAAGTTAATACCACAAATGTTTTTGGAGAACGCAAGAGCGGAATAGTGCAAAAACCCGCAGGTCAAAGTAGGCACCTGTTTTAAAAACATTTGTTAACACAAAAGATATAAAGTACCGATCAATTTCAATTTTCATCAAACGTCAGACATTGGCCATGAAAAGTATATAGGTATCTTTTGAATTATCAAGTTTCAAATTTTATCGCCCACATTTAGAATGATAATCAAAATGAAAAAATTCTTCCACAGAATTTATAACAACGGATAAAAATGTTGACCACTGCGATAAAATACATTATGGAAGGTCTTAAAGAAATCAAAAGCTATACGTGCACAATTACAACAGTGCATAAATCCATACAACTCGTATATATGGAGTTCTTTCTTATTGTAATAGCAATTCGCACGCAGAAACCACAACAAAAGAAACTATGGAAATTTGTTTAATAACGCTCAGGATATAATTGCATCAAGTAAAAGTAAAATTCTTTAACATACAGAAGATATAATTGTGTGTAGGTCTAAGTCAAAACTTTTCCATATGTTATGCATTTAAACCTGACATTTTTTCATTATAGCTCGAAATTACCCCTCAAAGCTGTCTGGATTACCTAAAACAAGGCTACACATCGGATGATTTCTACAAAATCTATGATTGCAATTCAAGAAAAATGATTACTGTTTATTGTGACATGACATCCGAACCTGGATCTGCCTGGACGTTGGTCATGTCGTTTGCATTGAAAAACAAAGTAATAGAACAGCTCTCTAAGAAAGGCTTTCAACAAAATGCCCCAGTGAACGAAAACTCGCCCAACTTTGACCTTTATCGTATGAGCAATTCTCAAATGACTTATCTGAAATCACAGTCGACCCATTGGAGAGTAACATGCGAGTATCCGAAGATGAAAGTTGACTATCGAGATTATGTAAGAGCAAAGTTCACAGATTTTGATGTGATGACTTTTACTGGATTTGGTATTTGTAAGAAAGTGGAGTATGTAAACATCCGTGGTCATCAATGCGCTTACTGTACGTCAAAATGGTGGCAATTATTGAATAGATACGCACCACACATCGACAGCACTATTCCAGGAGGATGTCAGTTCGATGCTAGCGCCGGTGCTGTACGTTACGAGGATGATTTTGGCTACTACACAACGCCTAACAAGAAATTTCGTTGCACAACCAGCGACCTTTCCACAACCAACTGGTGGTTTGGTGCTTACATATAGTTATTTGGTGAAAAGAAACGTTTCAAAACTTTTAATGCAGTGATTGTAGTGTAGTCTGGCATGTGAATTGATACGTATACCTAGATATAACCAAATCAATAAAACGCACATCAATAATTTGCATTTATATTTTATCTTCTTAAGTTGATCAAGAAATGGATAAGAATTAGTCAAAGACTGCAAAAACTGAAGTGTCAAGATATGAAATATTGTGGTGTTCAGTTTCATAGTTGATTCCAACATTTTCAAAACGTTTTTAAGAATTATGTTTTGCAAACGCCATAGTTAAGCGCTTTTAAACACCATAATATTTTAATTTCATCGTTAGGCTTTAGCTGCTAAAGACTGACCAACACTCAACGTATCTTGTAAACTGAGCATTTAGGAGCAACATATGAATGAAGCCCAACTTACCAATTATCAACTGTTATACATTTTGTAATGGTTAGAAATGACAGTTGTTGCTCGTTGAACATGAAATAATCAATCCATTCAAACTATTGATAAATTGATAAAAGACATCCAAATCTTTTCATCTATTTTTTGAGAGTTACATTATGAGTTGAAATGGATTAAAATATACCTACATATGAATACCACCCTCGTAACCCTCCCCACGCAACTATTGATCTTCTGCCGTCTCTGACCAAGAAGAAGTTCGGCAGAACTTCAAAGCAAATCACTTAAAATCACACGTTTAGCTTTGCTTATGTATGCATATGAATTTTCTGTTCTTATAAAGATGGAAATTTAAAGCAAACGCATTATTCAAGACATACACACAAAAGGCATGACGAAATTATAAATAACACTATTAGAGTTTCATTGTATTTTGATACATTTGGTGTTTGTCATATCAATTATGACATTTACACTGATTTAAGAGGTCAACTAATCCAATGATGAGGCATGTATTTATTAACAAAACGTATCGAGGCATGTTCAACAACACTACTACAGGCACTTGATTTTTTGACGTTTACATTATGAGAGGTTGATACAGAAACGTTCCCAATAAAAAGAACACAGTGCAGTATGATGTTCGTAAACCTACCTGAGCATAATTAATCACAGTCACAGAAATTCTGAGATTTAAACTGATAGACTTGCTATAAATATCTATACTTTTTAACACCAAAAGTCATTAGCTTATACGGATGAAATGAATGTCAATCATTAACAACCAAGTCACGTGATAAGATCTCAGGAAAACAATTTTTGACAGAGACAAATTTTCAACTGAACAAGAATTTTGGTAGAGCTTAAAACTTGAAAATACATCATCAAAAACAGGATTTTCGTTTCCAAGTTGCAAGTTCTCATAAAAATGAAAACTATAAATAACCAAATCACGTTCAAGACATACATACAAAATTCATGACCAAATCATATATTACAGTTTTCTGTTATAAGCAAATATGTCGGCAAATAGAGGACAAAAGCACTTATCCACTTATTAAAAACAACGATGTAAACATTTCTAAGCATACGTGCATTTTAATGAGTGAAGAATGACGTATAACTTTTTTGATGACATACAAATTTCGTAAATATTTACGTTTGAAAAGTGTTTCAGTTGCTTGTAAAATTTCGGAAGTCGTTCACAACACTAACAAAGCAAACAACTGGATATGTTATGCCACCTTCAGAGCAGCGAAATGAGCAATTAATCTTATTTATAATCATATTCATATGACTGATGTGTTTGGTATCTATACTGAATACTTTAGTAATATATACAGGCTGAATATGGTATTGATGTGATGAATTTGTTTTTAACGTCTGGTTTGATATTTTAAAACGATGGAGGGCTTCTTTTGAACATGACTAGTTGTACACATGTAGTTAAGTTGTAAAGTGTGGAGGTGTTTGGAAATGAGTGAATTTCTGTCTGAAGTTGTGTGTTCTTGGATGCATGTGGAGAGATGGCGATTTGTCTAATTTAACGATAACTCAATAAACCATGCATATAATTCTTGAAGAAAGAGAATAGAATGGTGTTTTTTAAAATAAAGAGGTTTTTTTATTTTGTATGACTTAGACTGTAACATAGTTTCTTTTTACGTGTTCAAAAAAATCAAACATGATTATGACAAATAAATTCATCACATCAACACCATATTCAGCCTGTATTTCTAGACTCTTCAGCATAATTTGATACCAATAACATCAGTCACATGAATACAATTGTAAATATAATTAATCAATCATTTCAAAGCATTGAATATGCAAAACATGTTTGCTTTCAAAATAAATATCGCTCACTTTACATGTTTGTCGTCGATTGTGTTGTTAATTGTAATGGATATATTTTCATGCACTTACATTTAGTTGCCAATTGAAATGCCATGTGTTTATGAACCCCTTGAGACGTGCAATAAACACGTATTGGTCAATTAAAGCGCAACCTGTGTACATGGTGATGACTACAACATTATACGTATACAGGTCAATTTAAACAAAACTAAAGTACATGAAATGTTGGTAATGATTTTATTACACATCGCCGCCGCATCCATCAATTCAAATTAAAAAAAAAGTCAAGAACTTTCATAATTGACGAAACAGAATTGAAAAACTTCCCTATTTTGTACAAATTTTTTTTAATTAAAGTTTTCGCATTGATATTGATTGATGAAAGGGTTTCTTCAATCATGATCTACGCATTATCATTAATTGACGACAAGTTGATACAGAATTGCTTCCCCTATAAAAAAGGACAACACCGTTTACGATAGCACTTGAGCGTTCGTCTCTAAACAAGATAGGCAACACTGTTTTGAAAATTGTGAATTCACACTTCAAAAAACAAGAAATGGAATTATTGTTTATACCATCGTTGCTCTTCACGCTTTTCATTCTTCAAGTTAATGCTGTGGGGTCAGCTGACGTTGTGAAACAAAAAAAGGTTTGTTTCAAAATCGATTCAATCTTGACTTGAGGAAATACAATTTTCCGACGCATGTTATTGTGAGCCCTATACATAATGTACATTTAATAAGGTAATGGTCACAAAAAATCTCGAGTGTCGGTCTGTCTATAGGTAGCTAAAGCCATTGACACCTCAACTCAAACTTGAGGTGGTGTTCAAAAATAATCAACTTGAAGTTGCGAGTCATATAGATATCAACAAAAATGTAACGTAATTTGGCTGCCGCGTGAGCATAATGCATTTTTGCACGTACATATTGATTTCCACCATTGAGGCTATATGTTGGTCAAACTGTCCGAATACAATTAGTTTCACCACGCAAGACTAAAACGACAAGACTTTGAACTTCTTCACTTACGATATGCCATGAGACGTTCTTGCCATTATGTTTGATGTTTCAATAAGTTAATACCACAAATGCTTTGGGAGAACGCAAGAGCGGAATAGTGTAAAAACACGCAGGTCAAAGTATGCACCTGTTCTAAAAACATTTGTAAGAATAAGACGTAAAGTACCGAACAATTTCAATTTTCATCAAACGTCAGACATTGGCCATGAAAATGTAATAGGTATCTTTTGAATTATCAAGTTTTAAATTTTATCGCCCACATTTAGAATGATAAACAAAATGAAAAAATCCTTCCACAGAATTTATAACAACGGATAAAAAAGTTGACCACTGCGATAAAATACATTATGGAAGCTCTTAAAGAGCTCCAAAAGCTATACGTGCACATTTACAACAGTGCATAAATCCATACAATTCGTATATATGGAATTCTTTCTTATTGCAATAGCAATTCGCACACAGAAACCACAACAAAACAAACTATGGAAATTTGTTTAATAACGCTCAGGGTATAATTGCATGAAGTAAAAGTAAAATTCTTTAACATACAGAAGATATAATTGTGTGTAGGTCTAAGTCAATAAAACTTTTCCATATGTCATGCATTTAAACCTGACATTTTTTCATCATAGCTCGAAATTACCCCTCAAAGCTGTCTGGATTACCTAAAACAAGGCTACACATCGGATGATTTCTACAAAATCTATGATTGCAATTCAAGAAAAATGATTACTGTTTACTGCGACATGACATCCGAACCTGGATCTGCCTGGACGTTGGTCATGTCGTTTGCATTGAAAAACAAAGTAATAGAACAGCTCTCTAAGAAAGGCTTTCAACAAAATGCCCCAGTGAACGAAAACTCGCCCAACTTTGACCTTTATCGTATGAGCAACTCTCAAATGACTTATCTGAAATCACAGTCGACCCATTGGAGAGTAACATGCGAGTATCCGAAGATCAAAGTTGACTATCGAGATTATGTAAGAGCAAAGTTCACAGATTTTGATTTGATGACTTTTACTGGATTTGGTATTTGTAAGAAAGTGGAGTATGTAAACATCCGTGGTCATCAATGCGCTTACTGTACGTCAAAATGGTGGCAATTATTGAATAGATACGCACCACACATCGACAGCACTATTGCAGGAGGATGTCAGTTCGATGCTAGCGCCGGTGCTGTACGTTACGAGGATGATTTTGGCTACTACACAACGCCTAACAAGAAATTTCGTTGCACAACCAGCGACCTTTCCACAACCAACTGGTGGTTTGGTGCTTACATATAGTTATTTGGTGAAAAGAAACGTTTCAAAACTTTTAATGCAGTGATTGTAGTCTAGTCTGTCATGTGAATTGATACGTATACCTAGATATAACCATATCAATAAAACGCATATCAATAATTTGCCTTTATGTTTTATCTACTTAAGTTGATCAAGAAATGGATAAGAATTAGTCAAAGACGGCAAAAACTGAAGTCACAAGATATGAAATATTGTGGTGTTCAGTTTCATAGTTTATTCCAACATATTTCACACGTTTTTAAGAATTATGTTTTGCAAACGCCATTGTTAAGCGCTTTTCAACACCATGATAGTTTAATTTCATCGCCAGGCTTTAGCTGCTAAAGACTGACCAACTTTCCACGTATCTTGCAAACTGAGCATTTAGGAGAAACATATGAATGAAGCACCTCCTTTCAATTAACAATATGGCACCGTTCCTAATCAGACGTTTTTACATTTCTTGTAAAACACAACAGTAATACATTTTGTAATTGTGAGAAATGACAGTTGTTGCTCGTTGAACATGAAATAATGAATCCATTCAAACTATTGATAAATTGATAAAAAACATCGAAATCCTTTCATCTATTTTTTGATAATTACATTATGAATTGAAATGGATTAAATATACGTACATATGAATACCACCCTCACAACCCTTCCTCCGCCGTCTCTGACCAAGAAGAAGTTCGGTAGAACTTGAAAGCAAATCACTTAAAATCACACGTTTAGCTTTGCTTATGTATGCATATGAATTTTCTGTTCTTATAAAGATGGAAATTTAAAGCAAACCCATTATTCAAGACATACATACAGAAGGCATGACGAAATTATAAATAACACTATTAGAGTTTCATTGTATTTTGATACATTTGGTGTTTGTCACTTCAATTATGACATTCACACTGATTTTAAAGGTCAAATAATCCAATGATGAGGCATGTATTTATTAACAAAACGTATCGAGGCATGTTCAACAACATTACTACAGGCACTTGCTTTTTTGACGTTTACATTATGAGAGGTTGATACAGAAACGTTCCCAATAAAAAGAACACAGTGCAGTATGATGTTCGTAAACCTACCTGAGCATAATTAATCACAGTCACAGAAATTCTGACATTTAAACTGATAGACTTGCTATAAATATCTATACTTTTTAACACCAAAAGTCATTAGCTTATACGGATGAAATGAATGTCAATCATTAACAACCAAGTCACGTGATAAGATCTCAGGAAAACAATTTTTGACAGAGAGTAATTTTCAACTGACCAAGAATTTCGGTAGAGCTTAAAACTTGAAAATACATCATCAAAAATAGGATTTTCGTTTCCAAGTTGCAAGTTCTCATAAAAATGAAAACTATAAATTACCAAGTCACGTTCAAGACATACATACAAAATTCATGACCAAATCATATATTACAGTTTTCTGTTATAAGCAAATATGTTGGCAAATAGAGGACAAAAGCACTTATCCACTTATTAAAAAGAACGATATAAATATTTCTATGCATACGTGCATTTTAATGAGTGAAGAATGACGTATAACTTTTTTGATGACATACAAATTTCGTAAATATTTACGTTTGAAAAGTGTTTCAGTTGCTTGTAAAATTTCGGAAGTCGTTCACAACATTAACAAAGCAAACTACTAGATATGTTATGCCATCTTCAGAGCAGCGAAATGAGCAATTAATCCTATTTATAATCATAGTCATATTACTGATGTGTTAGGTATCTATACTGTATACTTTAGTAATATTTACAGGCTGAATATGGTGTTGATGTGATGAATTTGTTTTTAACGTCTGGTTTGATATTTTAAAACGATAGAGGACTTCTTTTGAACATGACTAGTTGTACACAAGTAGTTAAGTTGTGAAGTGTGGAGGTGTTTGGAAATGAGTGAATTTCTGTCTTTAGTTGTGTGTTCTTGGATGTATGTGGAGAGATGGCGATTTGTCAAATTTATCCACAACTCCAAAAACCATGCACATAATTCGTGAAGAAAGAGAATAGAATGGTGTTTTTTAAAATAAAGATGTTTTTTTTTATTTTGTATGACTTAGACTGTAATATAGTTTCTTTTTACGTATTCAAAAAATCAAACATGATTATGACAAATAAATTCATCACATCAACACCATATTCAGCCTGTATTTCTAGACTCTTCAGCTCAGCATAATTTGATACCAATAACATCAGTCACATAAATACAGTTGTAAATATAATTAATTGATCATTCCACAGAATTGAATATGCAAAACATGTTTCTTTCAAAACAAATATCGCTCACTTTAAATGTTTGTCGTCGATTGTGTTGTTAATTGCAATGGATATATTTTCATGCACTTACTTTTAGTTGCCAACTGAAATGCAATGTGTTTATGAAATCCTTGAGACGTGCAATAAACACGTATTGGTCAATTCAAGCGCGACTTATGAAAATGGTGATGACTACAACATTATACGTATACAGGTCAATTTAAACAAAACTAAAGTACATGATATGATGGTAATGATTTTATTACACATCGCCGCCGCATCCATCAATTCAAATTCAAAAAAAAAAGTCAAGAACTTTCATAATTGACGAAACAGAATTGAAAAACTTCCCTATTTTGTACAATTTTTTTTTAATTAAAGTTTTCGCATTGATATTGATTGATGAAAGGGTTGCTTCAATTATGACCTACGCATTATCATTAATGACCACAGGTTGATACAGATATGTTTCTCCTATAAAAAGGACAACACCGTTTACGTTTGCACGTTTGTAGTTAATACCACAAATGCTTTCGGAGAACGCAAGAGCGGAATAGTGCAAAAACCCGCAGGTCAAAGTATGCACCTGTTCTAAAAACATTTGTTAAGACTAAAGACATAAAGTACCAATGAATTTAAATTTTCATCAAACGTGAGACATTGGCCATGAAAAGTAAATAGGTATCTTTTGAATTATCAAGTTTTAAATTTTATCGCACACATTCAGAATGATAATCAAAATGAAAAAAATTCTTCCACAGAATTTAATACAACGGATAAAAATGTTGACCACTGCAATAAATTATGGAAGCTCTTAAAGAACTCCAAAAGCTATACGTGCACAATTACAACAGTGCATAAATTCATACAACTCGTATATATGGAATTCTTTCTTATTGTAATAGCAATTCGAACGCAGAAACCACAACAAAACAAACTATGGAAATTTGTTTAATAACGCTCAGGGTATATTTGCATCAAGTAAAAGTAAAATTCTTCAACATACAGAAGATATAATTGTGTGCAGGTCTAAGTCAAAACTTTTCCATATGTCATGTATTTAAAACCTGACATTTTTTCATCATAGCTCGAAATTACCCCTCAAAGCTGTCTGGATTACCTAAAACAAGGCTACACATCGAATGATTTCTACAAAATCTATGATTGCAATGCAAGAAAAATGATTACTGTTTACTGTGACATGACATCCGAACCTGGATCTGCCTGGACGTTGGTCATGTCGTTTGCATTGAAAAACAAAGTAATAGAACAGCTCTCTAAGAAAGGCTTTCAACAAAATGCTCCAGTGAACGAAAACTCGCCCAACTTTGACCTTTATCGTATGAGCAACTCTCAAATGACTTATCTGAATTCACAGTCGACCCATTGGAGAGTAACATACGAGTATCCGAAGATCAAAGTTGACTATCGAGATTATGTTAGAACAAAGTTCACAGATTTTGATGTGATGACTTTTACTGGATTTGGTATTTGTAAGAAAGTGGAGTATCCGTGGTCATTAATGCGCTTACTGTACGTCAAAATGGTGGCAATTATTGAACAGATACGCACCACACATCGACAGCACTATTCCGGGAGGATGTCAGTTCGATGCTAGCGCAGGTGCTGTACGTTACGAGGATGATTTTGGCTACTACACAACGCCTAACAAGAAATTTCGTTGAACAACCAGCGACCTTTCCACAACCAACTGGTGGTTTGGTGCTTACATGTGATCACTGCTCACAATAGCAAAGCCAGACATGTTGATTCTTTATTACTTGATAAATTTAAAGAATAGTTTTTCTTTTTTACCACTGATTTCTGTATTAATTCGTCTACTATTAAAAATTGCTGCATGAAAACCTGGAAAGTGTTCGCTGGTTTAAGGAAAAATTAATTTCTTGATAATAGATGAGGCATGTTCATAATTGGCAATTCTTCGCTCTGCTTTATTTGATTGATGAACCTAATTTGTTATTAATTATATATATTAGTTATTTAGGGAAATCTCTTTCAAAATTTCCATTACACGATTCAACCTAATCATGACAAACACATTATAGGCTAGAACTAAAAAGTGTTTTTTCCAACTGCGCAACAAATGTGTGTTGAAGCTTTTTTTTGAACATCTCATACCACTGAAGCAACTTCAGCCTCCTGTTTTTCTTTTCTTCAAAAGTCAAAAGATTTTCTTTCTCCAGAATTCCAGGCAACTCTTTCCATGATTTAAGATAAATAAAAGGTGCTTTGTAGTATTTAAGAAGTCTTAAGGGTGCAATTGAACAGTTTCCTCGAGTTCTGACATCTTCAACAACAGGCACAGAGCCCAGAGAGCATGCTTCATAGATACGATAACACTCAGCATTTATACCAACAGGACACAAAGTCAAATCACTGTTTAGTAAAGTGTGATAGTATTCTTCTGCAGTCTCTTTACTCTCATTTGGCTGCCACTCCTCCCTTAGTCTCAAATAACAAGCTAAATAAAGCTTATTGTCATAAAATACCTTCTGGAGGATTTCCCTTGAAGAATTGCGATACACTGTTCCCAGAAAGTTACACTTGTAAGGCCGATACTTTGATATTTCTATTTCATGGGGGTTAATTTTATGAAATTTTCTATAGGTTGCTACACCTAATGGCCATTGAAATGTATTGTAATTCAAATTTGTAATATCGTACACAATGAATGCAATGCGAACTGATCCACCTTCATTTACCATATATGGTAATAACCACTCATTGTTACACTGCTGATTACCCAATAAGATCACGGCAGTATTTTTTAATTTGGGCAGTTTTCTTAATGAGTCTAGCCACATTTTAGCAAATTTTATTTTTTCTTCAGTTCTTCCATTTATTATAAGAACAAGATTTTCGGCTCCGCGTGGAGCATTTTGGGGTATAATTCCTGCTCCTGTTCTAAACTTGAATTTAATGTTATTAATTATTTTTTTCACCTACTTTTACAAGCTCATTGTCGTGCCTTTGAAGACGTCCTTCCATGATATGCTCCCAAAAGTAGAGCCCAATGGCGGCCTTTCCCCACACTTCAACCTGGACCAAATTCTGCTCGTCGCGAATACTATTTCCATTTACTGTAGATGCTTGAAAAACGTTAATTTTTTTACTATTACTCAAGTTTTTTGTATTTTCGAACAAACTGTACGCTGAGTAAAAGGTTATAGAAATGTATAGCAACAGTATAAACAGACCAAAATAGATGAGAATCTTTCGACTATTTCGGAGTTTGTAACCGCCATGTTGGATTGGCATGTTTTGGTCAATTGACGCATGCGTGTTATAACGTGGCAATCATCGTTGTTACAAATGGGAGTTTGTTGTATTGTTGTTATATTTTACATTGTCTCAGATTTAAAATTGTTCCTCTGTGGAAAGTGGAGATGATATAACAATGGTATTGAATGCTATTTGCAAATATTACTGTGTCTGATATACTTCAAGCAAAAGGGAAAGAAGAGTGTTGGAACGATTTCCATTCAGTGCAAATTATATTTGTGATGAGTTATTGATAACACCATAGTTATTGATAGGTGAACGAACTTATAATAGTAAAGGATCAGAACGTTAACGACCATGGACTAACACCCTTTCAATGAAATCATCTGGCTTGTGAAAAAATACATAAATTCCAACCCCATTGCTCGGTCCACTCCCTCTCTCCTCAATACATTTGCGATTCATTCCTGCAAAGTAACTTTTTTCATTTGAAATTTGTTTAGAAATTAAAAACTATTAGCTTTGTCGCCAAACTACTTTTAATACATCGAGTTGCAAGAATTCGTTTTGACAAAAACTGGATCATTCAGTGAGCTACTCATAAGCACGTAGAACAATACCTTGACCTTAACTTTGCCTTGCTGCCTCTTTATTGCAAAATTAATGTTAACATATTATTGTGCTGCTTGTTGTTTGACTTACTTTAAGTTTAGTTGCAAAGGTAGTTCTGGCAATACAATTTGAATATATTCAAATAACTGCATTAATCTTGTAACGTCAACTTAGAAAAAACAAGTCTGTGGGTAGAGTTTGAAACATACAAAAAACTTGTCTTAAACACACTGCACCCAAGCATTGAAAAGCATGACAATCTACTGATCACAGTGATGTCATGCTTTTCATGCTTTTTGACAGTCTACTGTGATGCTACTGGATCACATATTTAGAGATAAAAGTGCATAGCTGATAGCTGACGAAAGAAATGGCCTCTATTACTTATTGATTGTGGTTTTGAACTGACCTATTTCATGATATCGGTTTGAAACGTGATATCGGTTTATACGTGACTTGTCGAAGCACCTTTGTTTCTCAAGTGTTTGAGATGTCACATTTACGCAACGCAGCAACAAGCAAAAATTATACAAACGTAACTCTGGTACCTCTACTCATCAAATATAATTATTTGTTATCTTACCTGAGTGGTTGAGCTTGTGCTAAATGTTCCTACACTTTTTTCGGATTAATGCAATCCTCGCTTCGACTCAAGCAGGCGAGTTTATCGGTACTGTGGTTGCAAGCCTTCGTTGCAGAATATACTTTGTCTCGTGGTATTATTGTAGTTCGTAATCACTCAGATGAAACTTTGGTGAATTGTTGGCAAAATTTCGATAACCTTAATAATATTGCAATTTAGCAATACTGAATAGCTAATGTGGATATTTGTTATGCGCGACGAGTGGGCTACTGTGGAATTGCTAATTTACGACAACGAAGAAATACACAGGCAAAAATTCCGTATACCCTACGGGTACCCAGAGTAATTAGAAAGCATTACCCAGTCAATGAAAACACATTCATGATCAACTATCTTGACACTGCCTTTTCCTTGCTGTCTGCTTTAAATTAAAATATGGTGCATCACTCTGATAACCTTATTAATTTTTCTAAATATCAAAATGGCTAAACTGATTTTAACATATTGCTGTGTTGCTTGTTGTTTAATTTACCCTAAGTTTAAAGTTGCTTTGGTGGTTCTAAAAATAAAATTTGAATGTACCGAAATAAATTATTTTTGTAGCAAAAAACGAGTCTTTGTCAGGAGTTAGAAACATAAAAAAATTTATCTCAAGCACACGTCATATAAACATTAATTGCAATGTATGATAATGATGCTTCTGGATTACATATGGTTTAGAGAGACAAAGGTACACAGCCAATTGCTGTTGAAAGAAATGAAAAATGTTGTCCATTGGTTTTAGTTTTGAACTGACCAAAGACAAGTTTGAAATCAAATCCTTACATGTGACTTGTTGAAGCACTTTCGTTTTTCGAGTGAGATGTCGCTGCGCATGACAATAAGATCTTCCTACTTTTAATTCGAAACTTTTCTTCCAAGCTTGTCTGTTTACGCACATAAAAAATGCATTCTAAACTTGCATTATAAAATGCAGTCTTTGGGCAGTAAAATAATGCATTTGCAAATGGACGACACTCATGCACTTGTATTTACTAAATTCAATTATATCTCATGAGTTCAAAGTAGGCAATTTTTATTGTCATGACGTTTGGCTGACTTTAAGGTCAGCTTATCGTATGATGAATAACGGATGTCTTGCATGTGTCGTACCTACTTTTGCAAAAGCACTTTTATCATCGGCATATCTTGGTAGAGATCCTTTCAATCTGACTACATATCTTGACGAAGTATATTTTTAAACATGCTGCCACCACTCGAAGACCATGCATGTGTCAAAGATTTTAATTTTTGATTTCCTCAAAACATATATGCCTCATCATCTCATATCAAGTTAAAAACATGTGTCATGAAAATGTGCAATATTTTTATTTTTTCCAATAAAGTTTGACATCAGCCCAAGAAGCTGTGTGTATTAACTGAGAAAAGGATTCAGGTCTTATGGTTTTTATGATATTTATGAATTCAACACCAACAAAATCATTCATGTCTACTGTGACTTGACTTCAGAACCTGGGTCAGCGTGGACGTTGGTCATGTCGTATGCTTTGAAGAACAAGTTAACAAATTCGTTGCAAAGTAGGACCTTCCAGCAGAATGTCCCCATAAATGAGTGATCACCCAACTGGGATATTTCTCGTATGAGCAACTCTCAAATGAATTATATGAAGTCCCAGTCAACCCATTGGAGAGTAACGTGCAGTTATCCAAAGAACAAAGTTGATTATATAGATTATGTGAGATCAAAGTTTTCTGATCTTGATGTGATGACTTTTTCTGGTTCTGATATTTGTAAGAAAGTAGAGTTTGTAAACATCCGTGGTCATCAATGCGCTCAGTGTACGTCGAAATGGTGGCAAGTGTGAAATACCTAATTAGCAATCATTGAGAGTAGTGTTTCAGGTTGTCAGTTTGACGCTCGCATTGGTTCTGTATATTCTGAGGATAACTTTGGCTACTATGGTGTGTTTAACAATAAGTTCCGTTGCACAGAAAATAATCAGGTTTCCACAACAAACTGGTGGTTTGGAGCTTATAAATAATCATTTCTCAAGAAAAAGCGTTATAAAAAACTTAGAGTTTCGTTTAACATTTCACTTTTTTACTTTAAGAACAAATGCATAAATAAATGTAGATTATTGAAAAAAAATTTTGAATACCTTGCTCACGTTTTCTTTTTCAAGTTTGATATAGAAACTATAGCAAGAATTAGTTTGATGAAGTTTAAAATATGTTAAAATGCCATTTTCAATTTCTTTTGCTGTAACTTTTGTTTCATAGTTCTTCTCAATTCATTTAAAAACTTTTTACGATGTGTGTTTCTGGTTTTGGAAGAATAGCTTTGGGCTGATCTTTTAGATTTGTTCAGGATGGCTAAACTGATGCTATCATGCTATTTTATTGGTTGCTGTTAAATTTACTTTTCGTTAAGAGTTGCTTTGGCAAGGAATTTTTTTCTCTTACACTTAGTAGTAGGTAGCTAAGAAAAAAGTCTGCGGAAAACTCTTTCTCAGGAATTCAACATATACAAAAAGCTTGTCTCAAGCACACTGCACAAAAGCATTGTAAAAAATGATAATGATGCAACAGAATCACGAAAGCGATAGCTGATTAAAGAAATGACATTTGGTGCCAATTGGTTGTGTGAACATCAACGATCAAATACACTAATTCAAAAAAAAGACATATGTTGCTCATTGGCTGTGGTTATCATGTTTTTTTTGGCATAGAAAAATAATTTTTAGTTGAGTGTTGTCTGAAACTTTCAGTAAATCAAATTCAATGATTATTCTATAAACTAAAGATTATGCTTATAAACTACAAATGCTGACCTTCATAACATCCACAATAATCATTTTCTATCTTTCATAGTTATGAACTTATGAAAATACCCTTATCACATAAACGGAATTTTTTTAAGTCACATACTTTGAACTGATCAAAGAGAAGCTTAAAATCAGATCATTACCTTTTATAGTTCAAGTACTTTCGTTTTTCGAGTACTAGAGACATCGCTTGTGCATGAGTAATGACACTAAGATCCCTCTGTTTTTAATTGGGAAAATTTTCTGCAACCTTTCATTGTAAACTTGAAAACTCATAAAATGGGGTTTTCGTGCAGTAAAATAGTGCACTGGCAAATGCGGGACACACGTGCATTTTTATAAACTAAATTTACTCATAGGATTCATATTTCGTAAGTTTTCATCCTCATAACGTTCTTCAAAGATTTTTACACTTTATATTTAGCTATTGTAATTCAACAGGGATCTCTGCATGCATTTCCATTATTTCTGAGAGCACAATTCAAAAAACGTTAATTTTTTAAGACATATTTCAACAAAAAAAAACAAGACAAAATCAAAATGAACCTCGAAAGAATTATTCAAACATAGTAAGACGTTTAAAGTTTTTGAGTTTGTTTCACAGATAAACAAGAGAAAAAATTCCTATTGTAGCTATAATATTTTCATGTTTAGGAACATAATTCAAAATATTTTCTTTGAAAGTGAATTTTGAGAACTGCCTATTTTAAGTTTTACAACTATCTATTTTACCACTAAGACTGCTCATATTGAAAATTGGAAATCTTATGACGAACCTTGCCTCAGAGCTAGAGAGAAGCAGAAAACGTTCAATAAGCTTAAACATATATTTACTTTAAACATCTGTATATAGATTTTTGCAGATGTATTAGATTATATAGGTTAATAAAAACCTGAGAAGGATTAGTTAGCTGTCAATGTTTACCACCGTTTCGACAACCTTAGTTAGCGGTAGTTCTCTTCAAAATCAAAACTATTGAAGTATAGTTTTGGTTGAATCAAAATGGGTTCTCAAAATAACATTCAATTCAGAAGGAAGCATCTTGCTAGTAAATCAGGATCAATAAAATTAGAAAAACTCAAATCCCTATCTCCCACAATCAGGCCGGGGAACTCGGATCCAATTCTGGCAGATCAGTTGTTTATGTATCTTGTTTTGTTTTTATGTTTAATTTGTACGTCTCTTTCTTCTTATTCCTGTAAGTCTTTTATGTCCTTCTTATACGTACCGAGGTGGGTGGATGTAAATCAACGATAACATAATATAAACTGAACAGAACATGAACCTTTTGGAGTAATCCTTTTCATTTGTGTTGACAGATAACATTCCACTCAGGACACATCGTTATTGCCTTGAACATCAACATCACCAAGAATACCATATTACCATAATTTTTCATCGTACCATTAGCATGTTGTTAGTCGTAGGATAGGAAATCGGTTTGAATTCGGATTCTTATGTGTGACTTGTCTTCGTTTTTCAAATGTTTCAGATGTCACTTAAATAAGATCCTCTTCCTGTTTTTAATTTAGAAAACTTTTTGCTAGCTTGCATGATTGTTTACATAATAAATGCATTAGCTATACACTTGTATTTTAAAATGCAGTTTGAGTGTAGCAGAATAAGGCATTTGCAAATGCAGGATTATTGCAGGACACTCATGCATTTGTATTCACTAAATTTAATTATAAGGTTCATGTTTCATAAGTTCAATGTAATTCATCAATAACCTTCATGGTCAACTAATCGTGTCATTCATGTTTCATACGTTAAATTTAGGTAATTTTCATTGTCACGTTTCAAGGTTAGCTAATATGGCTTACATAGGATGAATGACGTATGTCTTTTTTGATGACATGCAAATTTTGTAAGTACTGGATATTTTAACAAGTGGAAGCACTTTTATCACCGGCAAATGTTGGTAGACTTTCTCGACTGCTCGATCGTTCTCATAAACGTCTCTGAGGTTTGCATAAACAAGTGCAAACACGAAAAATTTCACATGGAAATTAATCATATGAAGAACTCATTGTAAACTTCCAAAGATGAGAAACTGTATGAGGAATGTATAAAACAATTTATAACAAACATGTGAAATATTTTAAACATTGCGGGTTTGATGCATGACGAAAGAATGCATTTTTAAGCCCTAAACATCTTCGTATTACCATGACATTGTTATATTTATCAATAGAAGGGTTTTTTTAATAATGACTTTTGCATTATTTAAGACAAAAAAAATGTTTACTTTGTATGCACAGGCTTATGAAAGCCAAGGAGACCTTTAGGAGAACTCAAGAGCAGATCAGGGCTAGCCTTAGAGAGAAAGTTGATTGCCCATGACCGACTGGTCGAGAATTCTCACAAACGTCTCCGAGGTTTGCATAAGCAAGTTTAAACGAAATAGATCCTTTCGTATCTCGAATCTGAAGGACACGTGTACTACCACATTTGAAGGTTTTAAAATATTTTGTCTTCTTTGGATACATATATGATTTGTCCAGAAACTCTTTCAATAAAATCAGGAAAACACCAATTATCCTCTCCTACAATCAGGGGAACTCCAATCCTATTCATCTGCTTATTTGTAGCTATGTCTCGTTCTTATTATCCTTATATAATTCTTTTATGTTCTTATTTTGCATATCGTCTTATCCTACTTTAATCTTTATATCCTTTTGCTATTTGCTTATGTAAAATTCAATATTCTTCCAAACTTGAAATACGTGAACAAAAATACATTACTTTTTAATTCTTTTGAATTTCATGCATTACCTTATAAAAATTTATTCCATTTAAATGTGTATCCAAAGTTAAATACCAATTACTTGTTACATTAATTTTTCTTATAATCATGTGTCATAATGACATAAAGACTCTTTTATAAAACTGACCAGGGCATGGCTAGAACTTTAATGAACTTTAATGACTAACAATAGGTACTCCCTATAGGGCTTTTCAGTAGCTATTTACAAAATTGAATACATATACATATTTGTCTTATAAATGTATGTAAAAAAGATTATTATTAAAAGGATTTTAAAGATAAAGGTAACATTACAAGATGGAACTACAAAAGATCTTTTAAAGCTTTCTTAAAAGAATCAAGAGACTTGGAATTTTTCACATCTTTGTCTAAATTGTTCCACAATTTGACTGCCCTATATGAAAACTGCTAGTTAAAAACTTAAGTTTAAAATCGGATCATTTAATTACAATAAGAATTCGTGTGATAAAAATTAATGCCCAACATAAAGTTCTGATTAGAGCCATAGAAATAGACTAAAAAAACGAATTGTAAAGTTAAATTTATTGTGACGTTTCGTCTTTACTCAAGACATCTTCAGACAAATAATAAATAGGATGATAAGACAAGATATTGTATTTACAAAAAGGTGTTAAATTACTACTAAAGGAAGCGGTGTCGAATGGATACATGATAAGGAAGTTAGGAAGTAAAATAAAGAGAAATTAAAAGAGGTTAAGTGGAATGGAGTTTCCTTGCACATTAAGTGAAGGCTTGTATTTATTGATTAGAAGGCTTTCATGAATGGAGAGTTCATAAGTATCGTTGGAAGAGGAGATTATTTTAAAGTCGTCTAAGTTGGGGGTGTGTCCAGTTGCGTTAATGTGAGCAAGAATGCTTGATGATGCAGGGTGGGAAACTTGGTTGCCTGTAAGGGGGGATATTCCCAAGGGCTCCGAAAATCTGGTGTGTAGATGACGTGTGGTTTGACCCACATACGAGGCGTTGCAGCTTCGACACTTGAATAAATAGACTACACCAGATCTCAGAGGCTTGGGAATTTTGTCCTTAAAGGGGAAGAAAGAAGAGATACGTTGAGAAGGGCGGAAAACAAATTTAATGGATATATGTGGGAAGGCTGCAGCACAAAGGCTATTGATTTGTGTGCGAATTTGAAGGGAGTGTATGCCGGTGAAAGGAAGACAGAAATAGATGGGCATTTTGTGAGCAGTCAAGACAGGTGGTTTAGGGGCAAAGGTGTTGTTAAGGAAGCGACGTGTGATTTGGTCAATTATGCGTGAAGGAAAGCCGTTTTTGGTGAGTGACTTTCTGGTAAATTCGAGTTGTGTATGAAAATTTTCGTAAGTAGAGCAAAGATTGAAGATGCGGTGAAGTAAGCAGGAGACTAATGAAAGTTTGTAAGTAAGTGGGATGAAGCTGTGGAAGTTAGTGAAAAGGCCAGTGAAAGTA